ATATATATAAATTGCGTACCACAAATTATATATATAAATCCGGGATTTATATAGCGACACAAATTATATACAACATAAACAAGAAATGTCATACAATATGTACTCCTGCGTATTACCCACACAGAATAAATGTACACTTCACCCCTGTCAGAAATATGCAGGTATTTAATTGAATCGAGTAAATTATTAAATGTAAAATCTCATATAAACTGCTGAAATTTTTTCTAGTTTCGATAAATACTGTTGTATTTTGATAAGCGTTTACAACCTGACTCGTAATGAAGGGACAATTTCTTAAATTTTCTTCGACCGTTCTTTTCTGCCTATTAGTATTGCTGGCATCGAGTATTATTGTTGATGCTGCTGAACCGTGTTCAACTACAACGACCACCACTACAACAATAGCCACTACGACTTCTTCGACTTGCCCCCTCACGCCCCTCCCCACTGCTCTTACTTGCCCTGATTGTCGAAAAAAGCATCAAAATTGTGGTAATCATATTGGCAACGGCAAAAAATGCATAGCAACTGCCACTTGCACACTTACAACAACCACATGTGTCACACCAACTCCAAATGCTTGCGTCCCTTCGGATGAGCCATGTCGCTTTGAACATCCAGAACTTTGCTGTACATTTTGCTGTCGTTCTTTGGAGATTGAGGGAGGTTACCCCGCAGTCTGCTGTAGGTAGTAAAGCAAAGTTGTTTATTATTACTAAAACGAAACGTCCGTTTAGTTGGCTTTTTTTTGTCTTTTAAGATAGGGGGTTTGTTTGTTTTTTTTCTCGTTTTTAATAAAGTGACGTTGATTTGTTATTTTTTGTTCCTTATGAAACGAAATGTCGTTTAGTTAGTTTTTTTTGTTTTAGTAACAGAATATTGATTTTTTATTCAGTTTGTTTAGCAAAAAATTTTGTTTTATGTCATTATATGATGCAATAAAATACTCGATATAATGAAGTTCGTAAATCATCACCATAATTGGTAATCATTTTATCGAGCGAGAAATCATATTAAATTAAACCAATTAAATTAAACCAAATTAATCAAGATTTCGATGTTTTTGTGATAAGTTATTCTCTTTGACTCATTCTCGCAACAATTAAAAGACATGAACAATAGAAGTACGGTTAACAAATAAAGCGAGTTTCTCTAACGGGCGTTCAAAAAAGAAATTTGTGATATTGATATAAAAAGAGATGAGATGGGATCAACAACCAAAAATCGTGGTAATTTACCATTAATAGTAATAAGACAAGCGAATATCCAATTATATTTAGAAACTACAATAACGACCTGCGTATTAGTATATATCATCGGCATAACAGACATTCGAAGTCTATCTCAACCTTAAACATATGATAATGCATTGAGTGATCTCAAACTTGGACATATGAATATTTTGCTCAACAGCACGACTGAATGTTTTAATTTCTTAATTACCTCTTTTCGCAAGTGAAAAATGGACACAACCGACGCCTATAAACGTACACCTGTGTGGATATGATTGTCTATTACATGGGTTGGACAATATTTATACAATGTAAAAACCACGAAGCAAATATTGGTAAGAATTAAAATGTGAAATTTTTACAAAATAAAAAATTACAAACTTTAAATGTTATCGTTGTTAATAAGGTCGGTACCCGGTACAAGCGTTAGGTGGGTTACTTTCTAGACTATCGGAATATTGTTTCTATAAGATCGCAGGTATTATAGTAGTTCATAAAATAATGATACGGAAAATAAGTATGAAAGAGCAGCAGAGGAAGAAGCATATACCTGCTCTAATCCAATGATACTGTCGTATGAAAATCGAGGATATTGAATTGGTGAGCAAATTATATTTATTGTTTATACTATAAAGATAACCAATTTAGACAAACTATAGACGAATTAATAATTTATATTAATAATAAAGAATTTAAACAAATGAATTTCATTCGAATAACTGTAACATATAATATATTTATTCATAGATTAATTTTACAAAGTCTCAATTTTTATGTTACTTTGTTCAATCTCTAAAACATTATTAATTTCATCATCTAATCTAACGAATTCCTCTAATTTTCGTTTTTTGTTAATACGATGATGGAGTATGGATTTTTTGATATCTTCATAATATTTATCGAGGGAACTGGTTAACTTATATGTTTTAAACTTTTTTAAATCAACTAATTCCCAATCATCGTGATTTTCGGGTTCTTTGTTTGTGGGAATTTGTTTACCAATATATCCGATATAAATTGCACATTCGAATAAATTACTAGTATTTTTATCAATATATTTATCTAAAGTAACGTATGGCATTGATTCAACTCCGACTCCGGCTTCTTCTTTGGCTTCGCGTCGGGCGCAGTCTTCATACGATTCGTTATTTTCGAGTTTACCACCAGTTACTTGATAATAATCGCAAAAATCTTTTTTAGGATTCTTACGGAGACAAATATATACTTTTCGATTTTCATTGAATAAAACGCATAAAGCGAATTGTTGTGCATTCTTTTCGATATTAAATATTACTTCGTCTAATTGACTAATCTTATTTTCGTAATAATTAATAAAGATGTTCGGACCCATTCTAGGATTTGACCCATTCTGGGATCCTGAAATGGGTTGGCCCATTTCGATTTTTGCGATGTGA